GCTATAGTTTCTTGTATTTATGGGCAAATTTATCTATCGTTTGTTAGTAATCTCGTATTTATATTACGATATTTTTGCGATATTTGATGTAATAAGTATAATTATTATCAAGTTAAAAAATTAAGTATAATTATTATCAAGTTAAAAAATTAAGTAATTATTTTTTTAATTGATAATTAATTTTAATCAAAGGATTGCAAGTTCAATTTCGCTTTATCATAAATAATACTGTATAATTCTATCTGGTATGTTGAAAAACAATTTTTTTTTAATACGTCCCTCTTTAAAATCTCTCTGACTGAGTGACATGGAAAAAGATGCAGGTTTCCAATGGAAAAGTATATCAATCGTGATATCACTGAAAGCCTGCGGGCAAGGACAGAGGGGCGCGATGCAGCTCGTCGGGGAGGGAGGGAGTTGGATTTAGGTACAGAGGTCGGAGGTCAGAGATCGGAGGTCGGAGGACGCGAAATGATGGTCGGAGGACGCCGAGGGGGGGGGGTTGGGGAGGCAGGGAGGGAAGAAGGGGGCTGCAGCCTGGGAATGATCAATACTACTCGTACGCCAAGTTCCCACGAGAGTAGCGAAGATGGGTCGAGGAGCACGAGAAATTGAGCGTTTTCGATTTGCAAGAGTGACGAGAAGCTCGTTCACTGGGGAGGAAGGGCGGAGAGAGGGGGGGAGGAGGGAGAAGGGGACATATAAAATGATTTCCTGTCTATTGGTGCTTAGCGTCGTATCGTATGCTACATGTCTCAACTTCAACCCTCTCTGATTCTCTCTTGGTGAGATTTCTCCTCGGATTTCTCTGTATCTTCCGTATAGGATAACGGGCGAGAATCCGGAAAAATTCACGTAACTTGGCGTATTACACGGCAATGGGCAAAATTCGATTACGTTTGAAATTCGTACTTCTCACAAATCCGCGTGCGTATCCGAACGCGGATACGCAAATTCAGCATTTTGTTACACGCGCTCAGCTCTGCCCTCTCCCCTTCTCTCTCTCTCTCTCTCTCTCTCTCTCTCTCTCTCTCTCTCTCTTTTTATCTAAATTATTTCGATATATCTGACAACGACCACTCGTTCCGCTAGCTTTATACACGCGAAGCAATAAACTTCATTTTATAAATTGGATTACCTTCGTAATTTCGTTAGCTTGATTTCAATCGAATTTCAATATAAAAATTCCGTTTCATCGATATCATGCACAACGCAAATTTTGCTGTTTCGTCGCTAAATGGCATATTTATTAGTAAATTTCATAGAATCGAATCTTTTTTTATTGGTACAAATTTAATTGGGCAAATCATTCATCATTATTCATTAAAATTTTCAGGAGTAAATATCCAGGTAACTTGAAGCTGCTCAAACGCAAATTGGCGAACAAGTTTCAAGGATTGAGAAAGAAGTTGGAGAACAAAAAATCTCCCTTTCAGTTTGTCTCAAACGAAATTTGCCTCAACAGAAATATAACTTTAAATCTAATTGCGTCCTCACAAGATGGTTTATATTACTTAAAATTTCGAAGTTTCGTGAAAAAGATCGACTTATAAATTCAAAGAACGTATCATTGAACGGAGAGATTGTGAATTTAGGGCGCATTGTAGCTCAAATCCATTCCCCGAATATGCAAATACACTTCCGCGTAAACCGGAAATTAGATTACTGTTTCGTAAATTATTCTTACAGCATGTAAAAAATATATCGTTCTCTCTGGGAAAGAATATTTAAAAGTTTGCTTTCCAGTTTTTCCTCTTGGAAAAGTCGTCTGTGTCGGGTGTAACGGAATATTCAACCGTTGCCGAGACGTCGTGTTGCAACCGGCTTGTCACGGATCAACGGTGCGCGACGGAGATTTCCCCGATCCGAACGTCGCGGCGGTACAAACGATGCACATCGCTCGCACGAAATGCACGCTGCCGGCGGCGACGCGCGACCGTCGTGTGCCGTCCGATAACCCTGAAATATTAACGAACGGAGAGGTGCACGTGGGCTCTCAAGGTTCTCTCTCTCTCTCTCTCTCTCTCTCTCTCTCTCTCTCTCTCCTCTCTAGGCGGATAGAGAAACGCACGAGGGCGAGCGAAATGGCGACGACGCGATGGTGATAGCGAAGTGCGAGCACCCGAGCGGATTAACCGATTTCATGATACGTTGCATTATCGCGTCGCGCGAGCATGGAATTTCGCGGCATGCAACGTCGCGCAAGTTTCGCGAGTTTCGCCAGAATGCCGGAAATGATGGGATTCGCGGGACATTCGATTCCACGAGGATTCTAACGCGCGTTTGGATTACGCGAATGTAGGTCTTTTTGCAGAGAAATAAAATACCCAACACGACAAAATAGCGCAAAAAGTTGCTGAAATTATACAGCTGGTTATTAAGTAACGAGAATGAACAGAATATGTGAAACGATTTAAATACTATACTCTGCAAATCCGCTTATTTTGTTTTAAATAGAACATAGCGCAAAAATATTACATTCATAAACTTGTAAAAATAAATATTAGGGAAAAAATATAAAATTTGGTTGCAGGATTTATGGCATGTATTCAGAAGATTTCGACATAGACGATTACATTTAAAAAAAAGGAATTTATCCGAAATTCTTTGAAAGTACAATTATAGTTAATATAGTTATTAATGTTAGGAAGAATATTTAATAACTTTCAAAAATATCTCGAATGTTATGCAACTTTCGATAGTCTTTATTCCAAAATAATTATTAATGTCCATTTCTACCAATGTAGATTAATTTTAATCTTGGTTTAACTTATTTTTTATCTTTCTCTATAGTTCTATAAGAATCAGAAGAAGATAAAGACTAAATTATACCGAGATTCAAGGTAATCTATATTGGTAGAAACATTAGCCATGCAACCAGATGAATTGTTAATTCTTTTTTATATTATTTATTTTTATATTCCCGTCTTTGGCTAAATGCTAGAAGTAAATAAATATTCTATTCCATAAGGTTATATATATGTACATCGCTTTTTTACAGTATACGCTAAAAATGACGATCTTTTTCTACAGTATAAGTGTTTAATTCATTTCATATGATTTATTCGTTACAAAATAACAGAGATTTAGTTTTAGCAACTTTCCGATTGAATCCATTTTGTACATCAAAATTACATTTCTATCGAAGTAACTTACGTTCAGCATAAACTGAAAGGTAGATATTTCGTTTTCCAACTTCTTTCAGCCTACGTCCTTGAAACTTTGTTCGTCAGTTTCGCGTTTGAAGTTGAGTTATCAAGATACTCACACTTAAAAATTCTGACGAATAAATAAAGTTAAAATGTCTCTGTTATCCCGTTATTTATCGTGATATGCCAAAGTTATCGATCGAATTTAACTCATCACCTTATTCCTTCCAATTTCTACGAGACTTTTATGAAGTTTCTACGTCTGACTTACAGGAGAACATTTGATCTCATTTTTAATATATCCACACGAAAAGAACGATTTTGTTGAAAGGTCTAAAAATTTTGCTAAAAACAGATCTGAAAATAATTTTTTATTGAATCATCAAAATATAATTTGTTGGAATGTTAAAATTGATAAGTAATGTTATAAAACGATTTGATATTCTAGCAATTATTTTGACTTTCACAAAATTATTTTGATTATTAAACAAAAATTATTTTCAGATCTGGATTTAGCAAAATTGTTCTTTCCGTGCAGATATTTCTGAATCGTAACATATTTTTTATGCTGTTAACGGCGTCAACTAGTTGGACAGTTTAATTACCAAAGAGGTGATATCCTACATGCTATTCTTATTTCATGCCGAAAATATGAATCCCTTCTAATGCTCTCCTATCGATCTATCGACTTCCGGTCGACTTCTCCTCGGGAAACGAGTTGCCGCTAACGCGATTGATTATGCGAGTCTCGCGTGTATAGGATGTAGACCGCGCGTGAAAGCAGGCCACGAACTACCCCTCTCCTTTATCTCTTTCTTTCTAGATCGATGATCGTAATTAGGATAACCGTTGTCTGATCGACGCAGGACGCAATAAGGCGCACCTCATCGTAATCGCGAGAAGTCGCAAGGAGCATCCTGCAGAATCCGTGCGAAATCGCCTCGCGAGCGGAACGGAACCGAACAGAACCGAACCGAAGCGAACCGAAAACGAAAACGGAAACGGAAGCGGTCGTGTCGTTCCGGGGGCGCGTAACCACCACGTCACGGCGAGGCAAATGTTCTCGACGAGCTTCCGCGAGATTCCGCCGCCGAGTAGTACACCCGAGAAAAATCGCTGCCCTCGCCGGCGGGAGTACGTCACCGGCATCACCGCTGGTGCACTTCCGGCACTGCCGATCGGGCCGTCGCGATGAAGTGAGCATCACCGTCGACTCGTTGACGCCCACGACGATGCGGTTCACGACTGCCGTTGGCTGTATCCACATCCAAGCTCTTAAAACGTAATCGATAGCGTTCAGCGTGTCGTCTCAGCGCGGGTCAACCGATCTAAACGCTCCGTTTAAACGAAAGACACCGGAAGCGGGAGTATCTGCCGAGAATAGAGGATACGTTAAAGGGAATAGATCGGGGTCGGGAGACAAGGTTGCGACGGCGGCGGAACGGGAACGGGAGCGATGACGACGATGACGATACGACGAGGCGGTAGCTAAACGATAAGGATTCGCGATAAAACGAATAGCGCGATTACGACGCGACGTTGTAAGCGTTTTGGGGTAGCCTTCGCATAAATTATCGACATACACACACATACACACACACACACGGGTAAATGCATATACGAGCGCACAAATATATAGGCGAAATACGAGCAAATAAATACATTTAAATATTGTGATACGCATACGTAACTTATAAGCGCGCGCACGCGGGCGTGTCGATCGACAAGCAATAAGAGCAATAAAAGAAAAAAAAAGATTTTTATCGTGTCATACGCTGTCGGATCGGTGATTCCTGTCACACTGTGTGTTCGAAAGAGGAGCTCGTTGAATCGTTAAACCGATCTCGACGAGTTTAACGCTTTACTTCTCACCGGGACTGTCGGAAAAGCGAGTGCGCCGACGACAAGATGGCGTTCGCCGCGGCGAGGATGATCCTCAAGGACAAGCGCAGGAAACCTAGCAAAGAGGACTTCGCACCGCGAAACAGAAGCAAGGTAAAATATCGCATATGCGATTAGACTCGTAGACCGAATTCTGCCAGACTGAATTCCGTTTCGCCGTTTGCGTGTATTCGCGCTCCATATAGCGGCCTGAAATTCTGCACCAGGGACGCGCGCAAATCGCGCGAAAGGGGGAGAGACTTCTGAAGGGAAGTCTAGCAGCAGCGGCTCTTATTTCGCGCGGCGTATATATCATGTAGACACTGCACCGAGAGAAAAACGATTTAACTCGCATCACCCTCGATTCCCGAGCAATTTGGCCGCCACCGGCCCCGGATTGGCGGTCATTTCTCATTTCGAAGAGGCGACGCGAAGTGACGATCTAGATTGTACTTCTGCAAAGAGCGGAAGGGAAAGGGAGCGCGCGAGCGATGGCAATCAAGCGGGCATTGGCACGCCGAACTGTAATGTCATTAACGCGCACCTTTATCGCAAAGTCGTTAGGTGTTGGGTGGAGTTATGACGACGACGACGACGACGATAGCTCCTTCAGATAGCACGTGAGGGGAAACGACGCCGCGGAGAATGCATAATAGCTCTAGCGTGGCGGCTGATATCGCACGCGGATCACGCGAGACGTATATTTACGGGATAATAAACGGGTCGTTTTTATTAGGGTAATTAATTTCGCGGAACGATCGTCGCGAGATACGGTGAAACTTACCTCCGTTTTGTCGAGCGTCGCGGAGCGAGTGCCGAGTTTTTTTAGGTATGCACGGGATTGATTGAAACATCGCGCAATTTTCCCGTTAAAAACCGATATTGCGAAGCTATAAACGCAAACTTTAATTACCGGGAGAAAGAATGTATGTGGTCGTTTTCAACGACACGTTGAACGATCGCATGAACATAGAAAGAATGTCATTCGGAATTCTTCTATGCGAAGTATCTTAAATTGACCCGAAAGAACTTGCGCATGAGAACTTAATGCCATTCTGAGCTATGTTAAAAAAACATATATCATTTCTAGAAAGACATATAGACATCAAATTACTGGCAGGCTTTTTTACGATTTAATTGTTGATGCACGGAAAGAACAATTTTGCTGAATCCAGATCTGAAAATAATTTTTGTTCAATAGTCAAAATTATTTTGTGCGAAAGTCAAAATATTTGCTAGAATATCAAAACGTTTTATAGCAATAGTTATCAGTTTTAACATACCAACAAATTATTTTGATGATTCAATAAAAAATTATTTTCATTTATCTGTTTTTAGCAAAATTTTTAGGTTTTTCAACAAAATCGTTCTTTCTGTGTGGGCTAAATATAAAATAATTTTAAGGAAATGACTTACGATACACAGTTATAATTAGCATTTTCTTTGCAGACATAAGAATTTTGAAAGTATATCTAAGAATTTTCCCTTACCCATAATGAAAATTTATTGGAAATGCAGAAAACAGGAAAAATGGAATTTGATCGTAAAAAGTTATAAAAGCCCGAGGCAATAATCAATGCAGTATAAATGACACAGTCATAGATATTCTTCTATGGATTGTGCCAAATTCATCTTCAGAGATGAGACGGAGAAAACTGAAAAATAAAATCACACACAGTTTTTAACGCTTCGATCCTTCGCGATAGAGACAAATAGCCGAAGAGACGCTGTCCGCATGAATTTATTGCAAGTTGGTTTCACGGAAGAAACATAAATACACGCATAATTTACAACTTGCACGTGTGCACGCATGATTAACAACACGTGCACGTCACGGAAACGAAGAAGAAGAGGAAAAGTTCTCCGACGACAATAGTGTAACGATATCAAGGTTTCACACGTACATACATACATACGCACATCGCTCTGAAGTCCCATCAAAATTGCATAACTTGCTCTGTCAACATTCGAGACATTTTTCCGATATGCACGCTCGCTCACGTTTCCATTATTTCATGCGGCATCTGCACATTATCGCCGAAATTTTCTGGGGAAAATTTTTTTGATTTTTTATTCGTACCGGTTCATCCGTATCAGGGTATACCGTAAATGTGCTTAGATAAAATAATTGCTTGTTCTCTAAATGTATTTTTTATTATATTAATTGTAAGGTGTCTCCGTAACTCCTATAACGATCGTACAATAGATCATACTTTAATAGATTTAATTCTTCAGTAGATTTAATAGATAGGTATTCATGGAAGTTAATTATTAGATATAAGATATACCTATTTAAAAATATACCTAATTTAAAAAAATATCCTAAAGATATTGAGGTTGCAATAATTTTCCTTATAAATTATTTATAAATATTTATAATTATTTATAAATTAATTATTTATATAGAAAAGTTAAAGTTAGACTTTAAAGTTTATTAAAAAGATATTTTGAGAAAAAAAAGAAAGAAAGAAAAATAAAATAACATATAAACATTAGATAATATTTCTTCCTTATTGTGCGCTATAAATATTAATTTATTTTTATTTTATACAGATATAATGCATAAACATTGTGTTCCAATCTTTGTTATCCATAAGATATAAACATCAAGGAATATAAATAAAAGTTTTATATTCTAAGAGTTCTATTTATATTTTATTTATTTTATTTTACGTCTCATTTTTCTTCTGTATTTTTCGTCAACCCAGGTATAGTTATTTGGGATGACTTTTACATTTTAACGGCGAGAAAATAAAGCTTAATCACAGTAGTTTTCTTTACTGATCGAGAATTTATATCTATATTTTTTTCTATTTTTCCTTAATTACTATATGTGTATATTTTGTAAAAAATATTGAGTGTATAAATAATTAATGATCTCAAATATTAGAGAAGAGAAGGTAGTAGAATACCATTTTGTTTTCTTAAATAATTCAGTAGATGTTAATTCTTATGGACACCAGGTTAGCCATAAAGTTCTATCAAGAGATGGTGGAATACCACATTTGGTTTTCTTAAAATAACTCAAAAAATATTAATTCTTATGGACACAAGTTTGTTAGCCGTAGTGTTCTACAAATCATTTTATAGGTAGAAGTTTATCAGGTATACGTATAGAACAAACGTAATTTACAATTTAGTGAGAAGGGGAAAAAATATTGCGTGAAATAAAAGGGGAGTTATGACCATACTATCAACTAATTATAAAAAGCACTTTTATTTATAAAAAAAATCGCAAATTAATAATCCTTCGAAGAACTTACACATTAATAAATAAGCCATAAAACAGATTTTATAAATATTTTATAAAATATATTTTTACTTGCGAAAAAATAATTTCTTTTTCAATAATTCTTTGATTTAAAAAATAATTTTTTAAAACAATTTCTTTGCTGCACCAACGTAACCTTATTGTATGCGAGAAATAAAAGGGATTTCTCGAGTCATTTGCGACGCTCGCAATACAAGTAGTCCATGACTCATGTACATAATATACGTCGGCCTCATACATTACATACACATTGTCACATATTAAGTTCAGTTACATTATTTGAAAGCCACATTCAAGACCTTCAAGTTAGATTAAAGTTAAAAAATTAATGCCTAACATATTTTTCAAAATTACGTAAAGACTAAAGAATATGCGCTTGTAAAAATCTCTGCAAAATTGAAATTCAGCTTTTATAAAAACACAGTGAATACTAACCTCTGATCAGTAATCATTCTACACTGTCTAAGTAGACTGTAACGAAATAATTTTAATGATTACCCCTAGAATTCAATGCAAATTAAACGAGATATCATGGTATCTCAATCATGATATCTGACCATTTATTTCATGACCATCCTCTTTCTCCTAATAAATTGTAACACAGTCAATAGTATATAATTAATAATAGACTTTTGATTGTAAAAATACCCCAGATGAACGTTTACGCAAAAAAAAACTAGATAACTATTTCCGAGTTAAGCAGTGAGCTGAAAAATTTTTTAAAAAATTTAATATATTGTAAGCATTAAATTAGTTTATAATTAAGTGCTTATTTTAAGTATTTATTAAGCACTGTTAGTGCTTTTGATATTCAAAATAAGCAATTAATCACCAGTTTAATACTTACAGTATTAAATTTCTCTAAGGGAATTCAATCTGCAGTTATAACACGTTTGACTAAAATTAACATTATTAATATACTCAAACATTATTAATATGCATATCATCTCTTTTCCAAAGAATTTCCTGAAAATTCCATTTCTGTAGAGTGCTTAGCGGAAAGATAAGAGATAATATCACATACCCTATTATCGTTTACTTTTAATCAAGCATTATTTCTTATCAAACTCTATTCTGTAAAGTATCTCTCATTGTATGTGTGCATGCGTTTATTTTCGTGTGCAAAATTCTTACACAAATTCAATTTAATACTGGAAATTACTTATATTGTTGTTCAGTGCTTTTAATACACAAAATAAGTAATTAATCACTATTTTTCAGTATGAAATTTTTGTAAGGGAATAAATCTAACTGCGTTTTAAATTCAATATTGATATTATAATATAATTAATCTTAATTCATCTATATTTATTACCTTAAGATAATAAATCTACAGAATTTTATGTTTTTCTCTTATAGTTTTAACTTGATTGTACGTATCTTTTACATATTTGATAAAATTTTCACAGATTCATTATCTCTCCAATTAAAAGAGGATCCATATACTATTCATCGATACGATACGCAGCAACGAAATTACACAATGCAAAAAAAACTACGTTAAAATATAAAATAAAAATATTCCCAAAAATAATTAACATTTCAAAAAAAAATTTTGCGCATAAAATTTTTTTATAACTTCAAATAACAAACAAAATAAAAAACTTACTGCATGATCGTTCCGCCGTCGCTTGATGCCTTCCACTCCTTCTTTTCTTCTTTCCGTTATTTTACACAACATCCACATTTTCAAACACACAGTTAATTACGATTGCGCAATTAATCACTAGGAAAGGACAGTTGCGCGGCAATTTACACGTAAATCTCGACATTAATCACGAGTAACAGAAGAATGAAGTAATTTTTATAGCGATGAAAAAATAACGCGAAAAAGTATGACCAT